GAAATAAAAATAGTGTTTGATTCCATCTTCGCTCCGTTGTTATTTTCCCACATTTTCCAGACTATCACGTGGTATCGATACCATGGTTACCAGAAACTGTTGACAATCTTGTACCCAGAGCCTTTATTTTTTGCTGCGCATACTTCGATGAAATAGTCGTCTCTGGAAAAGACCAGTTCCTAACTCGTGATTGGTTCTCCAGAACAGAGTCTATCAATCTCGTACCCAGAGCCTGCGTTTCTTCTGCCCTGCGTTGAAGAACGAGGGCTCTGGCATAATCCATTTTTTGAGACCAGGATTTTTTGCACTTCCGGTATAACAGCGCACGCATTCAAAGACTTGTCAAAAATTAAAAATATTTTTCCCCCCAGATTTTTAATTCGTACTATGATTTTTACTTTGATTTTGACTTCGATTTAATTTTTACTTTGCATATTTTGACCGTTTATATCTCACTTTCCGAAAATTGTGTATGCGTCAAAAATGGATTATGCCAGAGCCCTCGTTCTTCGCCGCAGGCCAGAAGAAACGCAGGCTCTGGGTACGAGATTGAGACTATTTATTTCGCCGAGCATGCGCAGTAAGAAATAAAGGCTCTGCTCTGGGTACGAGATTGACATCAAAATTGCTATGTTTTGAAGAACCTACATACTTATAGTTCTAACGATAATATTCAGAAAATGTTCTTAGCAGGTTCGCGTGCAGGGTCATCGAGAATAACAAAACAACCTTGTCAGAGGTCATMGACCTTTTATTGTTTTCATACTGATACGCACGATATATTAAATCTTTTATAACAATGGTTTGAAAGATKTGACAGTCGACAGATTCTGGTTTGATACATTTATATATGGGAGGTCAAAAAAAGGAATTTGGGCTTCCTGTGTTTCTCTTAAAAGAAAGAACCCGAGTTCAACCCTTTCCCCCGTGATCACATGAGCTTGCCTTGTATATTATTTCTTTCTTTACCGAGTTTGAGAACGCTGTTATTCACAGCGCTAGCCTTGGTCAAAATGGTTTTTTTTATTACTTTTAACATGGCGGCCACATCTTTTGTTGTACGTGGCGCTCTGGATTGATTCCAAATAATCTATCACCTAYAGCTATAGATGGATAAACTCAAACAAAGAAAATAATAATCTCGTCAAAAGGCCGCTTAATCTTTATACGGATCATCATGCCGTGACCAGAGTATTCTATTTMAATTCGGAGTAAAACCAAAATTCTCGACTTTCGAATTCCGTCTTAAAAGCTATTAGAAAGAAAAAAAAAAAACGATATTAAAGATTAGGAATTGCTTAAAAGATTTTTAGTTATTTCCAGAAAAAAATTCTATTCATGCTATGTAATATTCACTCTAATCATAAACTTCTGTCGATTAAATTAAGTAAGGAGTTTAATAAGTATTTTAACTTTATTTTAATTCACTTTCATTAAAACAGCAGGAGTCACTTAGCAGCTTCTTAAGTCCTTAAAGATTTTTACAAAGATACGTTTTGGAAAAATTGAGTGGTATAAACTTACCAAATTCTTTGGATTTATTGCATTTCTTTGTTCTTTGTCACATTTCCATGACGAACATAACAAATATAAGTAAGAAGTTTATTCCTAATTAAAGCTTTGTTGAAATTAGCCTATTAAAATTTCAGAGATTAGTGCAGAGCTCTTACTCCTTTCTTTGATTCTCAGTGCAGTAAATTGGAAAATTCAACAGCTCCAACTGTGAAAATGTCTTATTTGTCATAACATGGGGTCAAATTGTGACAGCCGAGAATTTCACTTACATTCTCATTGATTTAGCAGGAGTCTAACTTCTCGCTGATTGTATTAAACTTAAATCTAGTTTAAAGCTTCTTCTTGCAGAAACTCCGATGCGAGAGAAATCATCTTTCTTTTGTAATTTTTTACCGCAAGAATCCAAATGTGTTGTATATGCAAGGGGAGTAAGCGCCCTTGCCAAAGTCTATATGTGCTACAAATAGTTGAACATTTAGTTTCCAAAGTTTGTGGTAAATGTAAATATTTTAAGACTTTAAACTACTCCTTACCTTTTAAATTCTGAGATGAATATTGAAGATTTGAAGGTTCTTCTTCGATATAAAGTACACCACAAAGAAACGTGTCTGGCCCTGCAACAGGTAGACACGTCTTGCACAGTTCAATCACGAGGTTTTTGGATAAACACTTTTTTTATTCAGCGGTAGGCRATGACAAGAACAAAAGCGGATTCAAAATAAATACAGGTATTGATTCGAAACGATTAGCCCATGCCCTGCCATTGGTCSAAAATCTTAAACAATTATCAGCTATTTTTCCATGTACAAATATTCTATTTTTTATTTTGCAGAGCGATGAACGAATATGTCAGATTAATGTTCTCGAAAAAAATTTCTAAATCATAAATATTCCAATATTATTTATTGTTGACTAATTCAGAACTTTTTGAATTGTTATAGATTTGTATTTTGACTACGCCGTTGTTTTTGTGATACGGTCGTAGTTCCTGTAGCTTTGARCAAATTAAACTTTGCATAACAAAAAAACATCTTGACACGGTTCGAACAGACGATGCAACATCATGATTGCGTGTGGCGTCGCTGGTGGCCACTCGTAGTAACTTTAATCGAGACCACTTCCAGCGCCGTTAGCGTGAGCAGCAACGTTGCCGGGTTAAAAGTTGATATCGATTCTAGTGTGCAAAAATTGCGCAGAGTTGAATACATGTATGGTGTAATTTCATGCATGCTCGTGTGCAACGTCGCGCGCAAAAGGTGCATTATTGATGATGCGGTTTTCAGCCGCCGGCCAATCTTGAAGCTTTACGTAAAATTGCAACCGRGTTTTTTAAAACAAGCTTGACCGTGTTATTATTTTTTCAATTRTTTAACAGCGTATTTTGGGCAACACAAGTCAGTTTTAGAAAAGTCGCTAGTTTGAGTCATGAAATGAAAAATTATGAAAATCATCTCATGTTCACACGCTTTCTTACATGTCAGTTTTTTATCGTGTTATCTTTAAGTAAGACATTAACTGAATTCGTATACACTGATTAAATATGTTTAATTAACAGAGGAAATGCCGCTACATTGGAACATGTGACTATGAATAACCAATTCAATATCAATGCAAATTTTCCTTCACAAAGATATCTTGATGATCAGAAACCTCAATTCACTCTTTGCGGTTTCTTAAACTTGATTCTTTCGATTTAAATATTAACCACATGCAATGGTATTAAATGAAATAATTCTCGTGCAAATTCAGTCTCTTCGTAATTGATCCCACTTCTGACACCAATCATCCAGCTCGCTCGATTTTCCAAGATGATGGACGTAGTGGACCAACTTTCCATGGCAAGCTCAAAGAAGAAGAAGAAAAAGATTGTGTTTAATGATGGAATGGTTGACGCTAGCGACCGCGAAGCAAGGAAAAAAGTAGACGAGACTACTGGATTTATGGTTGTTGCTGTCTATTGCATCGTRATTTTTGGTTGTGCTATTTTGACGAGAAACTACCTTGTTGCCCTCTTGGTACCTGGAGTATTCATTCTATAAAACATTAAGTATACTATCCTCGATTCAATTTTACTTTTTCCGAACCTGAATATCAATTGACACAATTAACTTCAAGGAATGGAGAGTGGCAAAAGAGATCAACATCAATGGATTATTCATTTTACAGGCTTGTGCGAAGAAACAACGAAGCTTCCGTTATCATTTTAAAGTAAATCGAAATTATATAAAATAGTAAAAGAAAGGTCCTTGATTAAGACAATGAGAGAAAATGATTTAAAAAATTACTTAACTATAAATAACATTACAAAAAAAAATTTTTTTCTCGGAAAACAATCCAAGTTCAAAAAAACATTTTTCTTGAGAAGACATAATTTATATCTATAATAATATACCAAGAACAAAAAAAATAAATGAAAATAAAACTCTTTCGCTACTTATTTATGCACATGACCATTTGCACCTGACGGGAAAATCTGCAGARGTTTGCGCGGGAAAGATTACACAGGGGCTTTTAAGGATATAATTCGAATAATTTTAACGAATTAATTGCTATTGTCTTAAAACTGTAATTTTGCTAATTGATTCGTAATTTTTTGTGCTTAAACTGGGGAACAAACCCCAAAACAGTTGCTTCTTAGCATTCATATAGATCTTGGCTTGCGCTAGCCTCCTTTGCTGAASCGTTGGGTGACGACCCTAACGACGTCTGC